GGGAAGATGTATCTAGTTCATTCCAAAACTCAAGAAAAGTACGTGATCTGGGATTTCTGAGTTCCCAGTTCCTCCCTTCCCACTGCATTTGGGTCAACAGCACGCAAAGGCTGCCCTTGGCCCTTAGACATCAGCCACATCTTCTGTCTCCCAGCAGAAACAAGTCACAGCCGATCTAGCCACAGCCCCACCCCACAGCCGAGGCCCTGCTGTCTCAGGCCAGGGTGACCATCTTCCCAAGCCCATCTCCTTACCAGGGCAGAGGCTGGGTGGGTGGGGCTGCTGCCTAGGCCATCATCCTGACAGCGAAACCAGGCCACTGCCTTTGACACCACAGGAGTCCAGGATTTAAGGCTCACTACGGAAGGGACACGAGTTAGGACAAGCAGGATGAAAGCCCAGGTCATCTTCAGGGAGAAGAGGGCTGAACAAAAGTCCTCTGGACAGGGAAACACTTGCTGCTATTTGCAAATCCTGATGAAGTCTTAATTACACTGGTATTCCCTGTCTGAAGTTCTGTCGCCCTCTGTTCTGTCATCCCCTTCCCCCTCATGGCCTTCCGGGTAGCAGACACACCCTGCGTCTATCCCTCAAATCCCCCACCATCCTACACCAGAACCCCTCGCCCAGCAACTCACCCCCATGCCTCAAGCAACCAGCGTCTGGGAAAACTCAGGCCTCTCCTGAAACACAACTCATCTCTGTCTCGGCTTGGGACCCCTGGAGTGACCCGCACTGCTGCCCCTCTCCTCGGCCTCCTGCTTGGTGGTTCCCTGAACCCAACTTCAGTCCACTGACCAGCGCTGGAGGCTGCAGAACCGAGGCACCGCTCAGCTCTCTCTCCATCCCCCAGTAACCCAAGCTGTCACCCTCTCCAGGTTGGAGGCCGAAAATCGCCATGTTCTGACACCCTCCTCCTCCAGCTCACCCCAGGACCTACCGCCGCCAATACCCCATTTCAGGTGCACACTCCTGACCCATCCTCTATCCTTCCACTTCACCCACCACTAAAACCCTCACTCAACAACCCTTTGACCCTCTGTTAAAGTGCAGGTGTCCTTCCTTCCTTTTTATTCCCCTTAGATTCCACGCCCCAGCATTAACCACTTCCCTGTGAATGTTCTCTTGCCCCTTTCTGCTTCTGTCATATTTGGTTAGAAAAAATCAGCCAAGGTAAAACCCAACCTGTTTCCTTCACTGTGCCTGGGTCGAAGCCCAACCACATGAATGAGCTTGAAGAAGAATCCAAAGTCCTGGTTGCATTCTATATCCACAACCACAATCAAATAGGAGTGGAGATGTCCACAGCGCTACTACACCTTGCCAGGGTGTCTGCTCCCCATTCTCCAACATGGCCATGGACACTTTCTTCTCTCCCTTAAGCTTCAAGATGCCCATAGTAGACATTATGGTTCCCTCTTCAATTCCTTCTCCCTTCTCTCTGACTCTCTTTCTTCTCCTGGCTTCTGAGACAGCACACTCCTGATTTTTCTCTGACCTCTTTAGCTGTCTCACAGTCTCTCCTGGGTCCGGGTTTCCTCAAATATTTCTGGGCCTCAGAGTTACCATCAGCCTGCCCCTCTCCCCAGGGCACTCACCCAGACCCATGGCTTTAAGTCCCATTATGCCAGTAACCACACCCTCATCTCTTCAGCCCACATACCTCCACTGGGCCCCAGACTCATTGATCCCACTGTCGCCTCAATGTCCCCATGTTGATGTCCAACAGACACCACCAACACAACGTGTTAGAAATGGGACTCAAGTTCCACCTCTCCCCGACTCACTCAAACATAAAAGTTTAACCCCATAACTGGAAATAGCACCCAAGCTAGCCAGATGCTGAAGCTATCTGTGACAGTAAAGCTGGATGTTCAACCTGATTGACTTCAGACCAAACTAGGGGATTAGTAGAGCATACTTCATGGAATGTCTGGGTATGCCATGGAGGCATGATCTTGGCTACTATGTCTGGCCTGGCCCCTTCCTTTCTGGCACTGTCCCTTGCTCTGCCTCTGCCATAAAATGAGAATATTCCTCTGCCAAGTTTTCCCACCATGATGCTCCTGCTTTGGAGAGAGCCTGCCATGGACTGAACCCTCTGAAACTGTGAACCAAATAAGCCTCTGCTTCGTTACGTCATGGGTGTCACATAAGCTGCTGGTGCAGGTATTTTATCCAGTGACAGGAAAACTGACCAGCAAACTGTCATTATTATTCCTCTTTCACTGACCAACCCCATCAGCAGGTCTTGTCAGACAAACCTCCAAGAGGTCTCCCTCTGCAGTCCCTCCCCTCCATGTCTACCACCCTGTCTGCCCAAGCCCCCATCACTTATCTCTCACCTTCCCACACACCAACAGCCACTATGGAAACAGTTTTGTGGATCTTCAAAAAGTTAAACACAGCAGAATGACGCAGCAAGTCCATTCCTAGGTGTAGACTCGAAGAACTGAAAACAGGTGTTCAAACACAAACTTGTTCACAGACGTTCATTCATAGTTGCCCTATAGCCAAGTAGCCATAGGCGGAAAGCAACCTTCCTGGCCCCTTTGCGTGGCATTCAGACCAGATCTTTCTGTGACTGGCCCTTGCTGATCCTCCAGGTCTCTGCCTGGAGGCCCTGGAGGCCTTCCCTGACCTGTTCATTCCCTTAGTACCCACCCCTTCTTGTAACCATGTGTTGCTCCCTGTGTGCTGCTATGTCCTCTAACTAGAAGGTAGCTTCCCAAGCCAGGGTTCCTTCTCCTGTTTTTTCATGAAACACAAGTGCTGTTCAGCAGAAAGGATAGTTGTTGAGCCTCCAACCCCAAGAGTCCATGCACATCCTCACCCAGGCTATGCTCATCCAAAGAGTTTACACTGTCCATCCTGCTCCCCCTCTGAGCAGAACTCTTTCCATAGGTACCAGCATAGCCTGTATTCCTAGGATCCTCACATTCCACCAGGCACCCAGTCCCTGTCTAACAAGGGGCAGAGGGAGGGGAGAGCAAGAGAACAGAACACAGCATGGGGTCCTCTGAAGAGTTCACAGGACTGTGACTACCAGGCCGTGGGCAAAGCAGTCCTCCTGTGCCATCTCAGTACAACCTCAAAGGAGCTACACAAATGATGGGGAAACAGAGGCTCAGCGAGGTAAGCAGCTTGCTCCAGGCCACACGACTGTCCAGTGGAGAAACGTAGAGAGTCCTGACCCAGAATCCTCGTTCTTAGTCACTGGGCAATGCTGCCTCAAGAGAGATAGGAAGATACACGCAGTGGTGCCCACCTGTAACCCCAGCTCTTCAGGAGGCAGAGGCATGGAAAGTTCCAGACCAGCCTGGGCAACAATAAAATTTTAAAAAGGGCTGGGGAGGTAGCTCAACAGTACACCATTTGCCCAGCATGAGCAAGGTCCTGGATTTGATCCCCAACACCAAAACCAAGAGAAGGGAGGGTACAGATTCTCAGTACCTGTTTGCATCAAGTACAAAGGCCCTGAATTCCTGAGCTACAAAGTAGTTTCTCCTCACCAACAGCATTAATGCGGATCACAGGCAGCTAAGGCCACCAAGCAGGCTGTTCCCCCCTTGGGGACCACGGAACAGGGGCTGCTGCCTCACCAGAAGTGCTCAGCAGCAGAGATGGCATCCAAAGCTGTCAGGCAGGCTAGGTGGGGACAGGTGCGGAGGTATTTTCAGGGCCTCTTCAAGGTGGCCAGTGACACCTGCTCCGTGAGCAACAAGAAGTGGCCTTGGAACCCTGTGGGTTTGTGAGCCTGGGAATACACATGGCATCCCTCCCGTTCTCCCCTCAGGGAGCACCCCAGGCTGATGTCCTAACGTCGTCGCACGTTTGCTCTTCTGGAAGAGGGTACATGGGGCTGGCTCAGGCTACCCCTCCCCTCCCCTAGGCCTGCTCCAGCTGCCACCGGAGGTCCTGGCCTGGCCCTCCAAGGGCCTGCAGCCTGAGCACATAGGCTTGCTGTCATTTAAGTTTTAATATGCATCCAGGACACTACTGTTATCCTTATGTATGCAAATGTGTAAGTATCATATATGACTGTTTATAATAAACTCCTTACTAGGAGCTGGGCCCTGACACTCGATGTTGTGTTGATTACTGCTCTTCATCCTCGACAAGAACTTCAGGAAAAATCATTATTCTCCTCACAAACAGATGCAGAATCTAAGACTCAGAGAGGGCCAGTGATTCGCCAGGGTCACACAGCGATGAAGGCAAGAGTAGGGCGTGAAGTGTTTCCCAGTTCTTCCACCACCACCTAGACTTCCCCGGTTAACTCTGCGGCCAGGCACACTGACCTGCTGTCCCCAAGTCGCAGAAATACCCTGAGCTCAACAGCGGGCTCCGACCACTGCTGGGGGCGATGGGTGGGGCCAATGGTGTGATGGGGGACACAGAGGCAGCATGGAGAGGGCTCACGAGGGCATGCACACCACTAGCGACACTCACCACCTGAGGGGGTTCAGGAGCGCCCAGAGAGGGTCCCCGCAGCACAGGAGAGAAGAGGCATTAGTTAGAGAGCCATGAGGAAAGACAAGGGGCAGCCTGCGCATGGACCAGGTCCAGCCTCCCAGCAGCGCCCCACACCTCCCAGGCCTCTTGTGGTCCTGCGGGGGTGAAGGAGGTGCCGCGAAGGCCTCTCACGAATAGCCTACTGTTTGGTCAGCAGGGGCTGCCTGGCTTGGTATTACAGGCAGCCACATTCAGGCTTAAGCTGGGAAGAGCCCCCAGCATTTTAGCGATGAGTGGCGTGGACCCGCCTAGGGCACACATCTTATTTAGCGCATCCTGAACACACATATGCCCAACCATTCTCACTGCCATGGATGGGGCCGGAAGCCTGGCAGATCCCAGGAAGATCAAACTGTACTAGAATGGGACCAAGTCTAGAAACCAAGTTGCCAACTCCCAGGTCTGCTAAAAGAAACACAGGAAGGGAGCTGGGGAAACGGCGCGCGGAGGGCGCCTCAGCCTGCCACCTCCCTCCCCCAACTCACATGTCCATGCAGGTCCGTGTTGAGCAGCATCAGGGCACAGGTGAGCGTGTGGATCCCGTCTAAATCAGAGATGGCAGTACCCTCAGTGTGAGCCCCACCCCCAGCTCTCCCCCCGTCTCCCGACAGCGCCCACCTGGAGGCCTCGGGGGCAGGAAGCAGCCAGCCACCTATCCTCAGGGCTGAGGCCTGCGTGATGCCCCCACCTGCCCTACCACAGTGCCAGTCACTTGCCTGCCTCAGGTCAGGGCCGTCCCCTCCCTCAGAGGGAACCCGGCAGCCTTGGGCTGCTCTAGCCAGACGCCTGCCCCTGTGCCAGATTCACCTTGAACCTCAGGCCCAGCAGTGGCTCTGGGTCCTGGGCCATGGCTCTGCTTTGGCCTGTGTCCAGAATCTCTGGGATCCAGGTCCATCTACCGGGCAAGTCCCCAACCAGGAGTCCCACTCCACCAAGAGTCAGCATGGTGGCAGGGCCCCAGGGTGTGTGAAGACTCACAGGACTAAATCTCTAAGACTGCGGGCTGTGAGGCACTGGGAAAGATGCTGGGCAAGACGTCTGCAGCTCTCTGGCCCAGCAGGCAGCCCCACTCCTGTGCCATCATTATCCACTCAGTGGTAGTTTAACATCCTCCTGTATGCCACAGGAGTGAGAGAAGCCAGGGAGCAGCGGGAAGGGGTGCAGCAGGCAAGGCCATCCGTACCTTCTGAGGTGCTGTCATCAGGGTTGCACTGGCAATAACGGCGGGAGAAGTGTGTAAGGACCCGCTCCCGCTCCTGTGTCTCCCCCATCAGAGGAAAGGCCTTCAGGAAGGTTCTAGAAGGTAATTTAAGGCAGCTGAGGGCCTCCAGAGTCACTGAGTCCACCTGGGTCCTCAGTACCCAGGGTAGAAGCCCCAGCCCATGCTCCACTTCCCCCGGGGGTTTTCCCCAAGTCCCAGCATAGCACTGCCACCCTAAACTCAGGCTGTCCCCTAGATTTTGGCCCCATCATTGCCACCTTCTCCCCACCTCAGCCCCTACAGCCTTTCTACTCCATCCTCTCACACCACCTTCCCCACCCACCCCGCCACCCACCCTCTGTCCTTGTCCTCTCCCGCCTGTCCTCCATCCGAAGCCTGCGCACTGCTCCCAGCACCTCTTTAGCGCCAGCACTGTCTGCAGCTCCCCAGTGCCTGCACGGTTGAGCCCCCTACTGGGCGAGCACACAAGGCCTCCAAGCCAGTACCTGTGGCTCTGACCGAGAGCTGGCGCCCTGGACACTTTCCCAGTCTCCCTCTCTACCATGGGATCTTGGGATTCTCTGAGGACAGAGTAGCTGCTGCAACAGACAGACACCGAGAACGGTGGCAACAGTGGGTTTTCTAAAGCTGTCAGGAAACTGCTGAGGCAAAAAAGATCACAAGGGCCAAGATCCTGGAAACAAGAGGCCCGAGAAGGGGGCTCATCTGCTGCTTTCACCTGAGGACACTGCTGACTAAAAGCACAGGTGGGGGGCAAGACAGCAGGGGGCATTCAGGGGCTGGAGAGACAAATCTGGAGATCGGAGGGGCTGTAAGCACACAGCCAGGTATATGCCAGATTCCACAGGGTGGAGGGAAAGAGGCTAAAAAGCTAAAATGAGCTGGGTGTGGTGGCACACCCCTGCAATCCCCAGCACTAAGAGGCTGAGACAGGAGGATTGCTGTGAGTTCAGGCCAGTATGTGCTACACAGTTGAGTTCAAAGCCAGTTTCAACTACATAGCAAGACCCTGTCTCAGAAAACGAAAAAAAAGCTAAAAGGAAAGCCTGGGAAATAGAGGGTTTTGTTCTTGGCTTTCTTTTGTTTTTTGTTTTTGTTTTTGTTTTGGCAATCTTGCTGCACTGAGGAGGCAAAATAAAGATTCAGAATCCACCAAGAGGCAAAGTCCAGTGACCACACTAGGCTCCTTGTGGAAAGTTCTGAGCTTTTTCCAAGATCAGGGCAAACCCTGAGCCTCACCAACCTTCAGTGCTTTGTCCCCGCAGCCAGCTGTGCTTGGATTAGGACCATGTCCCCAGGCTCCCTTCTCACTGCCAGCAAAGGACAGAGTACACAGGAGGAACACAGAACAATCTAGAGCCACTGTAGCCCAGTACAGAGTGTGTAGCAGTAAGTAAAAAAATTACTCAACATGCAAAGAAACAGCATAAATGATGGGAAGCCAAGAGAAAAACAAGCAGTAGAAACAGGTACACATGATTCAGATGATGCCAATGTCAGAGATGCAAACAGGGACTTTAATATGTCCAAAAACAGAGGGAAAGACAGAGAAAATTAGTGAAAAATGGAGAACTACCCAGAGAATAAAAATCTTTTCTTTTTTTTTTTTTGGCAGTACTGCAGCTTGAACCCAGGGCCATTTGCATACTAGAAAAGTGCTCTGCCACTGAGCTACATTCCCAGCCTTTTTTATTTTCTTGAGACAGGATCTCCCTCAGTTGCCCAGGTTGACATCAGTCTTGCAATCCTTCTGCCTCAGCCTCCCAAGTAACTGGGATTATAGGCATGCATCACTGTTCCCAGCCCAGAATCTATTTTTAAAGTTTAAATAAGATGGAAATCCTGGAACTGAAAAATATGGTAACAGAAAATTAAAACTCGATAAATGGACTTAATGGCATACTGAACACAGAAAAAAGGATAAGTGAAGTGGAAGCAGGTCAACAGAAAATATCCCAATCATAGCCGAGAAAAAAGAATAGAAATGACATCTTTTTCAAAAGTACAAGAGACGCTGGGTATGGTGGTGCATGCCTGTAATCTCAGCAGGCTGAGTCAGGAGGATTGCCTCAACTTCAAGCCAGAATGAGTTTAAGGCCAGGGGAAACTATATAGCGAGACCCTGTCTCAAAAAAAAAAAAAAAAAGTGCATGGGACACAGTGAAAGGACCTAGCATGTATAGACCACATAGCCTTAGCTCAGAGATGAAGGGCCCTGTCTGTCCTCCTTGTGGCCTGGCCTGACATCCCCTCAGCCAGTCCCTGCCATCACTGAGCTTCATTCACCATTGTACCCTCTCCAGCTCCCTGGAGCCCGCATCTGGCCCTCCTGAGGTTCTTCCCTGGTCCAGACTCCAGTTAAGAGCTGAGATCAAATATCCTCTCGCCAAGTCATCTCGTACTCAGTGACCATGGGGAGGTCTCTTTACCTCTCTGCCCCATATCCAAGGATTGTGCCTGTCTCACAGGGCTGCTCTGAGGATGAAGTAGGCAGGTCTGTAAAGACAGCTGCTGCTCTTGGCCTCTTCCCATGGTCCTGCTAGAGGGCTCAAGAGATTTGCCCAAGGTTGCACTGCAAGTTTACGATAGAGCTCAGATGACAACCTAGGTGTGCTGCCCCTGCCACCTGTAGACACTGTCCCACCCCAGACCTACTGACCTCAGTGCTCGGTCCAGAGTGAGCCCGGAAAAGTCAAAGAAACTGAGGTACTCGCCAGCCACCAGCCTGCTGAACTCATTGCTGCCGGGAGAACATGGGATGTTAGTTAGAAGCAGGGTCGAGTCTGGCAGAACAAAAGGGGGAACTTGGGGAGAGGCCCTGTGTCCCCTGACCACCCCCACCAGCCAATCCCTATGCTGACACCCCTGATGACCATTTAGGCTCTGACAGCTCAATCTTGGGCTGCAGGATCAGGAGGGCTTCCTGGAGGAGGTAGTGTCTCAGCCAACAACAAAGGTGATAACCAACCAGGTGAAGGAGAAGATGGGATGACACCAACTATATCTCATGTCCAAAAAGCCACCAGCACGCCATGTGGCCAAGGCCTGGAAAGCAGGAATGGGGTCAGCAAGAGACAGGCAGTAAACAGCCTGCAGGCCACAGGAAGGATGGTAACGTGACTCCAGGGGCCTTGAACAAATGATCGCCCCTGTATTGTGGACACCATCTGCCCAGTGGAGACCCCAGGGAGGGCGCAGGAGCTGTTCAGGAAAGAGGTGAGTGCATGATTTAGGAAGCAGAATCTGCCAGAAAGGGGGACAGATCAGGTGGGCACAAGACTAAAAAGGTAGAGATATCGGGGCTCAGGACATGGGTGGGGCGAAAGTGCCCTGTGCGAAGCGTCACTCCCCAGTGGTCAGGGACAGCCTGGAGCAGAGGGAGCTGAGCACCCTGTGAAGCAGGCGCAGAGCCGGCCGGCCGGGGTGGCCTCCGAGGCCATCCTGGAGGTCAGGGAGGAATGTGTCACAAGAAAGCTAAAATGAAGACTTCTGGTCAAAAATCGGAACACTTTGCCCCTGATTCTAATCAAGCCTCAAGCTCCCCCCACCCCATTCACAGGACTCACGGGAAATAGAGGAACAGTGAAAAAACAACGCAGCCAGCCCAGCCCAAATGCAGAAAGTTTGTCTGGACAAACTTCCTCCACAAGTGTGTGGCACTTAAAAGGGGAGGGGACTACTGCAGAGCAAATGACACTTGAGACAGTCAGAGCCAAATGCAGTGTGTTGACCTTGTTTGGATCCTGATCTGACAAAACAACGGTTTGAGACAATCAGAGAAAATTAAACACAAATGTTGAGGCTAATAAGGAATCTGCTAATTTTGTTAGAAATTATAATTACACAAACAAACTTATCAGAGACCCACACTGAAGTACTTATGTATCAAATGACACAGTGTCTGAATGTGCTTTAAAACATCTCAGCAAGCTGGGCGCAGTGGCACACGCCTGTAACCCCAGCACTCCAGGGGGTTGAGGCAGGAGGATCATAAATTCAAGTCCCGCCTGAGTAGTTTAGTCACTTAAGGATTTGGACTGTGGAGATGGGGGGATTTTTGCCTTTCAGGTTGGGGAGAGGAGCACAACCAACTGCTGAGGGAAGACAGCTGTAGAGGGCGAGAGGCTGGCAAGATGGAAGGATTCAGCCATAGAATGCCCCCGAGAGGCTGCCATTAGGTTGGGGCAGCTTTCAGGCCAGCAGGAGGTGAAGGCACCTGCGATTTCTTTGCTGGGGCCTTTGGGAGACCAGGGTGAGAGAGACTGGAGGCTAAGGAGGGTGAGGAGGCAGAGGAAGAAGGGGAGGATCCAGGAATTGAACCCCTGGCTGGGCTCCCATGTCAGCTCCGACACAGGGCCAAGGATCTACTGTCCCTTAAGCCTTGTAAGTGGCACTCAGAGGCCAGGCCTGCTTCTGCCCACCTCAGAGTCTTCCTGTGCTAACAGGTCGCCCTCTGACAGAGGGACCAAAGGTAGGGGCCGTGCTGGTGGTCAGACATGCTCAAGATGTGCCCAGCCCTCCTCCCTGGTGTGCTCTGAACCCCTATCTTATCAATTCCCCTCGCACCCACCTGAAAGCCAGGGCCTGTACTCTGGGGGGCCCAATGCCTTCACCCCCAGTGGACAGTAGGGCTGGATGAGCGCCGGGAGCCCCCTCCTGAGCTCCAGGTCCCCACCATTGCTCCCCGCACCCCATGCAAGCTCTCTTCTCTCCCTGGCCCTACCAGGTGGGCCGGCCACTAGCTCCTGCCTGGCACCCTGTCCTCCCTGCCATCCACCATGACCTCATAATCACGTCCTGCACCCCGCTCCTCAGCAACCACCCTCCCTGAGAGCAGCAGCCCTCATCCAAGCAGCCCAGAAAGGAAACAGATTTAGGGCAAGGCCAGGAATGAGGACAGTGGCAGGAGGAGGTGTCCTTGAAGGACTGTTGAGAGCCCCTGGTACCAGGCACCCCTGAAAGAAGCCAGACCCCCTCAGGCTGACAAAGACAATGGTTTGCCCGGGGAGGAGGTGCAGGATGCTACTCACTTCTTGCCCAGCTGCCGGGCCACGTCACAGCGCTGGAAGCCCTCAAGGTGGTAGAGGCGGCGGGCCAGCCGGCGAGCAGCTTCACTGACGCCCTGGCACCCATTGGCCAGTGGGTCTGTGCCACCAGGCTCCAGCCCCTCCGAGCTGCTCAGCTCTGAGTCCGAGTCTGACAGGCCGTCCTTCAGGCTGGGGTCACTGCAGATGAGAGGAGAGGGATCAGAGGCCCTGCATGGGGCCTCTGAAAACACTCAGGGTCCAGAGGAGGGCAAGAAGCTCCACTGAAGCAGGAGGGCCTCAGTTCACTTTTGTGGGGGCCCTCAATTGAAATCATGCCCACACTGTGGCTCCCTGAGCCCATATGCACTGAGAAAACAGGAGAACAGAAGGGGACCTCGGGACCTGCAGGGGTGGGGGGAAGTCCCGGGGCAGAGGTGGGACGAGGTGACCTTGGAGAAGCCTTGTTGACTTTGGACACTGGGCCACCCTGACATGCTTTGCCTCAGTTTCTGCTTCTGCTCAACGGCTTCCCCAGCCCCAGTCCAGGCCCTGCCTCACCTGGCTGAGTTCAGCAATTTGTCTGTGTCCTCGTCATCATCATCTTCCTCCCTGCCTGATCCCTGGGGCTCATCCTCATGGAACCCATTGGGAACGGTCGTAAGAGACAGGCGGCTCAGGACGTTCTCGGAGCGGCTGCTGGAGATGGAGCGCCGCAGGGGGCTGCCCAGCTCCCTGTCACCTCCAGCTGCCCCCATGTCGCCCTCAGCCCCCATGTCCCCGATGCCCAGCCCAGCCTCTGGCTCAGGGCTATCCCGGGCCCGCTGCTGGATGAGGGGTGTGAGCGGAGCCTCGAAGCTGACACAGCTGTCGCTCTCATCGGTGAGGCTCAGTACGTCCAGGGAGTCCAGGCTACTGTACTGGGTGCTCCGCAGCAGCTCTGACTCCAGAATCTTCTCAAATGTGGCGCTGAAGCCATCCCGCACATCCGGCTCCCCAGGGCCGTCGAGCCTGAGGATGCAAGGGCCGGTCACCATCCTGCCCAGGTGTCCTCACACACAGGGCTGAGCTCAGCGGCACTCTGCATTTGAAGCCCCTAGGGGCGGGGCGCAGGCATGGGCTGTGTCCGGCTTCTCTGTTCTTTCAGCCAACACTAATTGAGCATGAGGGACCAGATGCTGGGCTGGGGACTGGAGGCACAGCAGAACAAAACACAGATGTGGCCCCTGGCCTGGGTGCCCAAGCCAGGCCCTGGCTCTCAGGAGGCATCAGGTACCTGTCCCAGTGAGTGACTGACTGTGAGGCCTCTTCTCGAAGTCTGGCCTGGCCCCCGGAGCACGTGGACAGCTACCTATTACATCCAGGGCCACACCTGCTCACAGCTTTGCTGTCTCCACGGCCTGTAGGTCCTCAGCTCAACCAAGCCCTCAGCTCTCAAGGCCTGCTTTCAGGTCACAGCCTCCCCGTGGTGCCGGCCCCTCCTCTCCAGTCTCTCTGCTCAGAGCGCCTCCTGGCGTCCTCTGCAGCCCTTATCAACTGCAGCATACAATATTCTGTTTGTTCCCCTCCTTACTGGTGCCCCCCAGCTCCCAGCTCCCCACGCCAGAGCTACACAAGGCCAAAGTCTGCCTGGTGAAGACACCTCTGCCAGACCTGGGATGAGTCTGAGAGACATTCAAATAAGACAGCACCCTGCCCTTGAGGACTCTCAGCCCACTGTCAGGGCCATAGGCGTGCCACCATCTCCCACCACCCTGCAGCTGAGCAGGCCTGAGGAGTGGCTCTGAGAGGGGCTGGAAAGCCATCTTCCCAGTTTCCATACCTCTCTCTGTCTCCACCTTTACCCAGCCCAGATTGGCAAGCTACCTGAATACAAAGAGCGGCCTCAGAAGCCTCAGCCCTCTGCCTTTCCTCCCTGCCAGTTCCTGGCATCTGCCCCGGGCCCGCCTGGATGGAAAAGTACAGCCATGTGGTGCTGTACCTCAGTGCACGAAGGCTCGCAATCCCACCTGTTCACCTCCCCGCTCAGAGACCTGTAGCTACCTCACCTTACACACCCACGCAAAAGACCAAAGGTGCACGCACAGCTGCACAGCCGGGGACACAACAAGCCTGCTGCTCTTTTAATTCTTTTCCTGGACCTGTTGCCCCAAAAACACCCAGAAGTTAGACAAAATAGGAATATGAAATCCCCATGTATGTGTGAGAAAGACAGAAGGGACTAGAGACCAAGGCCACACAGCACTGGAGCTGTCAAACACAGTGAATCCCCATCCCAGAATGCCCACTTACCCCAGCTGGGGGTCCTCAAGGTCTGGACAGAGGCTGCTGGAGACATCGTCCCCCTCTGCCAGTCCAACAGCCCTCCAGGGACTGGATTCGGCTGAATCTTCCAGAATGTTCATTTCTGGTCCCAGGGTTAGGCCACTGGCGAGAGAGGGCCCGGGGCTGAGGCCAGGGAGGGTCTCCCCTGGGTCCCCTGTGGGCTCCTCAGTGTCCAGCAGGGCATCACTCTTCTCATGTGCTGGGCTGCTGAGAGGGCTGCTCAGACCCTCGCTGGCTGCCGTTCCATTCTGGACCCCAGCCTCCTGCCCAGGCTCTGGGCTGGGGTCCCCGGCAGCACCACTCTCCTCAGGTAGTGCCGGTGGGAGCTCACATCCATCCATGGCAGCCCCTGCTTCTGCCTGTCCTGGCTGCTCCTGGGACTCCGGTACACCTGGCGGGAGATGGCGAGATGAAGTCAGGGTGGCCAGACAGGGCAGGGATGGGTGTCTACAGCCCAATGAAACCAGCACCAAGGCAGCCTGCTGAGGGCAGGAACGCAGCCAAGATGATCTCAGGACCCGTGTCTGGGGCCTGGGATCAGATCCCGCCCCTCCCCCTCCTGCCCAGGCACCCGGCTCGCCTCTCCCCACCTCTGCTCAGCCCCTTGCACCCAGCCCCTGGCTTCTCTGTTATCTCTTCTGTCTCCCTCGTGCCCAGGATTCACCAAAGCCCTCTGAGGAAGATCCAGATGGGGGGGAACTGAAGACGGGTACAGCGCCCTCTGCAGGCCCCACCCATTCGCTGGCGAGTGATGGAGACAAAACCTGGGGCTGACGGCCAGCCCACCCATCTCCCCGCATGTTCTCTGCTCCACCGGCAGGAGCCAGAGATCTCTGTGGTTAACGGAGGGAACTGGGCTGGGTGCTGCCTTTAAGGGCGCACGAAGAGAAGAGGGAAAGAAGTCAACAGAAGCGCAGCTTAATCAGAGCACCGGCCACCCCAGCGAAGCAAGCCACAGCGAGGCCTGGAGACGCCATCGGCCGTAGGACGACCCGAGCGCGGCGCTGTCCAGGGTGCTGGGCGGGTGCAGCGCCACCCGACAGCCTCGTGGAGAGCCAGGCTGCCTTTCCAGCACTCAGCGCCCTGGCTACACCAGGAAAAAGGACAACGGGCCTGGACTTCCCTCCACCCCTGGGCACCACTGGAGCTTGTCCTGTCTCGATGAGGGAGGGGACTCACAGACGCCGCTCTGGGGAGAGCACTGCAGGGGGAGGTCAAGCGCCGCTCTGCCAACTTTCTGTGTGGCCTCATGCGGGTCTAGACCAGGCGGCCTCGCCACACTGCCCAGGCCAGGCTACCCCCCGCTCTGTGGGTGTCTGCCCTGCATCTGCACCCCCCGCCCCACCTACAACGGCTCGGGACCAGCTCGTGTTCCCCAAGGGTATCCCAGCTGGGCAGTGTGGAGGCAATGGACAGTGGGCTGCAGCCTCCCCCTCCCCTCCTTCTCTCTCTAGCTCTGGTCCCAGATAGTTTAGGCAAGCTCGTCCACCTACCTCTGCTGAGGGAACAGATCAGCACCCCCAACCCCTAGAGAGCTGCACGGAGACAGGAAGCTGGGCATTTGCCTGGGCCACTTCTTCCCTCCCTTCTTGGGCCTTGGCTACCCTGTACCCCTACTCTCCCTTGGAGAGGGACTGCTGTGGGTTCAGGAGAGGCTGAGAGAGCAGAGGGCTGGGTCTGCTTTCGGGCTGCAGCAAGACAAGCTACCCCCATCACAGTGACAAGAATGGGAGACCCTCCCCCCACATGTGCCCGCTCATAAGCCTCACCTGAGCACCTGTCACAGTACAGTCTGCCAGCCCCAGACCTCCTCACCTGCTCTACCAGGAGGAGATGTGGTGGTCTGTCACTCTTATAATGAGGCAAAGGCGGGAGACATGAGTTAGAACCAGGAGAACTTCCTACCTGCAATGATGAACCCAGAGAGGAGGGTAGGTCTGCTTCTCTGGGGGCTCCTGTGCCCCTAAGGAAGAACTCAGCTACTGCAGACCACGTAAAATTCATTTAACCCTGGGTTTTCAAATGCAGTGGAAAAGAGAAGGGCAAACTGATCTGTGGGTCTCCCCCACCCAGTCTGAATCTCACCTAGAGGTTTTTTGTGGGGGTTGTTTTTGTTCTGAATTACTCCATAATTCAGACTGGCCTTGAACTCACTTTGTAGCCCAGGCTGACCTCAAACTCAAGACAATCCTCCTGCCTCAGCTTCTCGAGTGCTGGGATTAGAGGTGTGTGCCACCACTCCTGGCCTCAGAGTTTTAACTACAGCATGAGAGTAGGATTTTACTTGTTTAAAAAAAAAAAAAAAAAAAAACACCTGAAAGCTGGGCTATAGACTATCTGAGCCCTGAACCTAGGACATCAGGGACCCTTGGGGCTCAGGATGGAGTGAGGAATCTTTCTTGAATGCCCTACATCCCTGCTGCTGTGGTTGCTATTTCAGTCTGTTCCCTCCAGTTGTATACCCAGAGGAGGGAAACAGGAGGTCACCTCCTCAACTTAGACTCCTGGGGGAGCTGCAGGGAGCATTTAGAGGGGAAAGAGAGAGTGGGGATTTGGGGCCTGCTGCCTGAGTTCTCGTCCTCTGGCCTGCTTTCCAACCCCCAGGATGCTCAGGCTCCCATGCCCCTGGCTAGAAGCTGAGCTTGAGCCCCCAGGGAAACCCAAAACTTTCCCAATCTATACCAGTCCCAAAGACAGGGCTGTGGATAAGTCAAGGGCTTCCTGGGAGGCCTCTGTGCTCCCAGTAGCTGCCTCAGGCTACCTCCAGCCCTACCTGCCCCTCCATGTCCTGCAGCTGACAGCAGGATGAAGGCTCTGCCAACACTGGGCACTGGGCCATGTCCTTGGTTTCTGGGGTGGGCAGACAGGGGCAGCATTGAGTTCTATCCTGGGCGGGGGGCCTGCAGTCCCTGCCTGGGCTGAGAGCCAGTTGAACCTAGAATAGCTGAGCCAGAGCCCCCTCTCTCACTGAGCCCTAGGAGGGGCGCATAAAGGGGAAGTTCAGGGTAGAGATGTAAAACAGCGCCCCAAGTCCTCACTCTGAACCACTGTGTGTCCTGGGCTAGATTTGCTTCCTCGGGCCTGTAGGAGGCCATCTGCTGAAAGGAAGCCTCACTTCTGTCCTCTTCCCCCTGGGGCTGGTGGGAGAACCTAAGATAATGAATGCTAAGACAGCTGAGATCCAAGGAAGAGCAAACTTACCTCGGAGTCAAGAAGCAAAGGCCAGGCTTCACTCTTTCCATCACATTTTGGGGCGGGGTTGGGAGGGGCCTGAGGTACAAACTGGCAAAGGCTTTGCCTGAGATCACACAATGAGCAGCTGCTTCTAGAACCAGGAGTGACCTCCCTCTCCAGCTAAATGGGCTAGAAGTGCACAAAGGGCCCGTTTCCAGGCCCCCTGCCACACCATCCCATGAGATCGAAGGCCCAAATCCTCAACCAAGAGAGCTGTCCCAAAGCAGTGACCCCGCCTGTCTCCAGCCCTTCTGGCAAGAGCAGGGCCAGGAGGTGCAGCTGTGCCACCGGGCACCCATCCCAAGGAGACGCCTACAAATAACAGGCTGGCGGTGCCCAAGATCCCTACAGCCTCTCTCAGCCTAGTCCAGCCCCCCTCCAGGCAGGGGCTCCACTACCCATACCCTTGGGATGACCTTGTGCTCAGCAGCCTCTTTTTCAGCACTAGCCAACACACTGATCATGATCACAGTAGAATCCTGGCTGGCACAAAGCCACACATATTCTGGGTCTCAGCTGCTCTCAACAGAGCCCTGTCCCCCTACTCTCCTTATGACAGCTGGAGTGAGCTGTGAGAACACAAACTGCACCATGTGCCTCCCTCATTCATAACCCTCCAATGCTTCCCCTCACCCTCAGATTAGAATCCAGTCTCCCCAGCATGGCCTAAAAAGGCCTTGACTGCGCTGGTTCCACTACCCTCTCACCATCCCCCATCAACCACTCTGGCCTTCTCTGTGCTCTCTGAGCTCATTTCCACCTCAGGGCCTTTGCACCAGCTGTACCCTTGGCCTAGAATGTTCTCCTAGATCTTTAAACAGCTCTCCCTATGCAAGACCCAACTCTGATGCTCCCTCCCCAGAGAGGCCCTCTGACTGCCCAGCATGCTACTATCACCTCCCCCACAGGGTGTCAGCAAACTTGGCAGAATTGAAACTCCTTTCTCCATCTACTACAAACTTCCTGCCTATCTCTCTGACACTTGGATGTGAGTCTAGTGACAGTAGAGATGTCTCATGTTCACAGCTGTGCACCAAAGCCTAGGGCCATGCCCGGCACACAGTGGGGGCTTTGTACATGTTCATTGAGTGAATAACCTGGGGCTATCATTATCCTCCGTTTTTGGCAGAGGTTGAGAGGTGATGAGGAACAGCTCTGAGCTCTGCTGAAAACAGTAGGCAGTTGCAGGGACAATCATATGCCCCCTCCACGCCGGGATCCGAGCCAGAGACCAGGAAGCAAAAGACAGGGTGGAGGTGGGACCCAGCACGAGGACTCCAGAAGCCAGTTTGCTCCATAAGACTCAAGAGCCAACGCAGGGGCTGCAGTACCTCCTCCTGCATGCTTACCTGTGTCCAGTGCAGGTATTGTGGACACACACACACACAAACACACACACAGTGTACACATGTATACTCAAAAACATCAATGCAAACAGCTGGCACGTAGGAAGTGCTCAGAACAGACCCTGGCCAGTTATGCCCCTCCCAGCCAGAGACCCAGGCTGCCTCAGGGCCTGGGCACTCCACAGCTCAGGGCTGGTCAGGTCCCTGGATCACCCAGGTGCCACACCCTCTGACAGCCTCTGCCAGCGAACAGGTCTGTCAACCCAGAGCTCCACACCTCCCTGCCCCCAGGTCAGCCCAGGCACATCTTCCTCAACACCCCTGCCACCAAGGGCAGGGAGGAGCCCAGGTCATACAGAGGGGGATGTCCGCCCAGGGAGCTTCTCTGCTTCCATACCCCGGAGTGACCCTAATCCTCCAGTCTGCGTAGTCTTCCCAGCTTGACCCACCTTGTGCAGCAACAAGTGCCTTAGAGACACTCGGCACAGCACTCAGGACACAGCAGACCACACACTCAGAATGGCCTGGCCAAAAATCCCGGTTCTGCTCCCCACCTCTGCGTGACCTCAGCCTCGGCGTCACCCTCCATAAAATGGAGCATGTGAACACTGCCCGAGTCACAGGGCACTTGAGGACCACAGAAGATGGTACGTGCAGTGCCCAGGAAAGCACGGTGCCTGCCAGAACGCTGTCGGGTCTGCAGGGGAGCCAGCGGGCTGCCCCAGCCCCAAGTGGATTGTTCAGAAAAGCAGCACACAGCTCAGGTCCTGCAGCCTTGTAGATCTTGGTGACTGGCAGCTGCCACAGCAGG